TTGATCGGGCCCTCTTCCAAGGCCCGGGCTGGGGCCGGTCCGAGGCCTTGGCCTAAACCCCCTTGCTTAATTTAAAAAAAGTCCTTTGTAAAATATACAAAAACCTCCTGAAAATTTTAAAATTGACAAAAATATTTAGGGTTAAACTGATATTTTACAAAAAACAATTAATGCTCATATGCGTGCCAAGGGGTTTTCATTTTCCCTCCCAATCCTATCCCTCACACTTCCAATTTTTTTCACACCAACTCTCAATCTCTCATTCTCTCAGTCTCTCTACTCCAATCCAATTCTCTTTATATTTTCTTCAATTCAATTTATATTTATATTTATAATTTATAATTTATTCATATTATTTATTTATATTTTTCAATTTTTCAATATCATCTCTTATTCATATTATTATTTAATTTTTTTTGTTTTAATTATTTATTATTTTATCATAAATTCATAATGAAAGGGCCAAATAAGTTCTACATTCCATCAACCGAAGAAATGGAAGGGTTTGATCCATTTTTACCCTTTCCAAAGGCAACTGTTGCAATTGAACGACAACAACGACATTCAGCCGGGACGAGGTTCACCCAAACACAAGCGAGCTGTGACTCCATGGCCCAACCACCCCGACTATCAAAGAGGGTCGTGTTCGATGTATGGCAACATTTCACTAGATCAAAACAAGCAAAGGTGAATAGGGAGGGGGAAGAATCGTGCGGAGTATGTAATTTCTATGGAACCGTTATCGGCGTTGAGAAGGGGACTTTGACGATGCGATGACATTTGGAGAAGAAGCACCCCTAAATAATGCAACTGTTCGGCTCATCTTCAACCGGACCAGGTAGACAATTCAAACTCAACTTAATTTTAATCCACAATCCTCAACTCTATCAACATAGCAATACAATGCACTCCAAGCACGAGAGGAAATAGCAAAATACATAATTGCTATGGACTCCTCTCCCCTTTCTTTATTTAAAAATCTTTTTTTTATTCGCTTGATTCAAACTGCATTTTGTCTAATATATACCCCTGTTAATAGAAGTACAAGTAAAAGAGACACACTAAAACTTTATAACCAAATAAATATTCAACTTAAAAATGAATTTCAAAATTTTAGGAATATATTTATTGCACTTACTTTAGACATATGAGCTTGTAGATCAAAAACAGATTTTTTAACTGTCACAATACATTACTTAGATCACGGTTGGGGTTTACAACAAAAAATGATAGGTTTTAAACCATTATATACTGCACATAATACTGACACTATTTATTTTACAATACTTGAAGTTTTGCAAGAATATATATTAACTGATAGAGTTGTAGCGCTAACGCTAGATAATGCAGTTGCTAACATTGCGACCATCTCTTTATTTGAAAAGAGATTGGATCTGCATGGTGAAGGAAATTTTTTTCACTAGAGATGTGCTTGCCACATCATTAATTTGATTGTTAAAACAGGTTTAGAAGCTATAAATTTGAAGATTGAAAGGGTGCGCACAACTATCAGATTCATCGTCGGCAATAGCAACAAAAGATGGCAAGAGTACGTCAAATATGTAAGCAAGAGGATCCACTGGTTTGACCTTTGGGGGGTGTTTGGTTTATGGAATGTTGGATTACTGGGAATGTTAGATTACTAAAAAGCTAGATTACCTTGAAGATTATTTGGAATCTTTAGAAAAATGTGTTTGGTTAATTGGTGGCTATGTTATATTAATATGTTTGGTTGGAAAGAATAAATTGGTGGGTATGTTATTTAAATTACTGAATTGTCCTCTAATTAAATATTATTATTATATTATTTTTTAATACTGATTATTATTTGGATTATGTAACCCCCTTTGCATTTAAAAACTTAGCAAAAACAACCTCATAATAAAAGTTTGGAAAATCAATAAAGCACCCCTACCAACCCAGCCACTGTCGACCACCAGCAACCATCGCAGGCTGCCAGCAACCTAATGATGCACAGAAGGCAAGAAATGGCCTATGAGTGTTGTATGGCCATTTCTGGCCAGATGTGATAGATCTGACCGTCCACGATTAGATCAAAGGATCTAGCCTTCGATGGTCATTGACGGCCAGATCAATGGTCATTGACAGCCATAGACATGGCCATTAACGGCCATCGACCAGATCGACGGATCTGGCCAAAAATGGCCATATCGGCTTACGATGGCCATTTTTGGCCTTCCGTGTACCGTTTCGGCTACGGCTGGCCGTGAGGATGGTTGCCAGTGGCAGGTGATGGTAGGTGGGTGGGGGTGGTGGCTTGAGTAGGTTGCAATTTGTTTTGAATTCAAGGGTAATTTTGTCCAAAAAATTAATTAATTGAGATGAAATAGTAAAAGCAACATTCATGTAAATAAATTAAAAAATAAGGGCATTATTGTCCTAAAATTTTATTAATAAGGGATAGAATTGTAACAAAAAAATTACCCTAGTAATCTTACAATACATAAGAAAATGGAGGTAATCTAATTACCTCCAATATTAATAATAGTAACTACTATTGGTATTTGAAGATGAGTAATGCTACACTTACAAAGAAATCTTGCAAAGATTCTCACACAAAGTGATATGGCAAAAAATGAATGGAAAAGTGATTATAATAAGTTTGACTTTTTGTTTCACTCTTCCATTCATTTTTTGCCACCTCACTTTATATGTAAATCTTTGTAAGATTTTTTTGTAAATATAGTATTATTGTTTGAAGATTATTGGAATCTTATATTACTTGACAACCAAATGTGGTAATAAAGTAATGTAAGATAACATAACCCCAATAATCCCACATTACCCCCAACCAAATGTCCCCTTGAAGTTATGTATTGACATACCTATCCTTTGGAACTCACCTACTTGATGTTGGAAAAAAGTTTGTCAAATGCAAGACAAATTACAGATTTCGTCAATTAGAAGAATCCGCAGGAAGTTGTCAACTATGATGATTGGACAGTTTGCAAACTTTTTTATTTATTTCTTAAAGTTTTTTATGAATCCTCTAATACATTAAGTGGTATTTATTATTCTACTACTAATTTAATGTTAGATATTTTACTTCAAATTTCTAAAACTTTTGCACTAATTTAATGTTAGATATTTTACTTCAAATTTTTAAAACTTTTGCTATATATATATAATGACGTCTTAATGGAAATTATTTCAAAGATGGAAAAAATTACGAGAAATATTGGTTAGATATTCCATGCTTATATAGATTAGGCGTTGTTGTAGATCCTAGGTTTAAATATACAAGTAGTTAATTGTATAGTTACTGAGGTAGGCCAGTATTTAGGACATGATTATATGTATTATTAGATTAACTTCAAGCAAAAATTGGAAATCTTTTTTTCTTTATATCAGAGCAGATACAATGGAACTGGAAGTCTAGCAGAGACGACCAATAGGACCCTGATGAAGACAACTGTCAAGAATCGAGCATGTGGACGTATATGGAACATGGCGGCAGAAGTAGCAGCTCCAATGCGTACATACATTAACCAAATGAGCTGAATCGCTACCTACAAATGGACATGTCCTACATGACGAAGAAGGAGAAAAGTGAGATAGATGGGCTTCAATAGTGGAAACAATATCAAAGTCGATTCTCCATTGTAGCCCAAATGGCACATGAAATTTTATCTGTGTCAGTTTCTACAATTGCATCCAAGTCAGCATTTTCAACGAGTGACCGAATTGTTGAAGACAGAAGATGCTCTTTAACCAATGGATGATTAAAGTGATAACGTATTTATGGGATTGAACTTATGTAGAGAGAAGACTGTAGTAGTATCTTGAAGATCCCGAACTACTCGAACTCTTTAGGAACACAGATTTGAATGATGTAAATATTGTTGATGATGAATAATTTAATAAAAAAAAAATTATTTAATTATTTATTTGTGAAGTGTAAATGTGTGATTGTGTGAATATTACATTTATTTTAAAATTAATAAATTAAATTATCTCTTTAAAGTTTAAATTTAAATCCCCATATTTATAAATAATTGTTAATTGTAATTAACCATTAATTAATTAATTATTTTTTAAAGTTAATTAAAAATTTACTAATCTCTCGGGGATGGAAATAAATTTTCCAAGCCTCTAAAAATTACATAAACCCCCCTATATAATTTTTTTGGCCAATATAAAATAATTGGAGGGGTGAAAAATAATTTTTCAAGCCCATAGGGTCGGTCCTATGGGCCCAGAACTAGTCCTAGAGATTGGTTTGAGTCTTGAAATTTCTCATGGGCCTAGGACCGATCCCAAGCCCATGAGTGATTGGTCCCAATCGGGCCCAGACCTGAGTTTGGTTGGGACCGATCCCTGCCTAGGTCTAGTATTTTGCTTAATTTATACATAGAATGGAAAGTTGAAAATAGAGGTGGGAATTTTAGCCCAGGCCCAAGGGATCGGCCCAAAAAATCGATCCTAGGCCCAGGCTTGGGCCCAAACGCCCTCCCCAATATCCTTTAAACTCCTGACAAATATCCATAACCCCCTATGTTATATAAAACTGACAATAAATGCAGAAATTAAAAATAATTTTACAAAAAAAAAAAAAAAAATAGAACCAGCCATGGGCCCTAAGAAATCTCGTGGGACCCGTCCTTCAAATATTGGGCCCGGGCCTTCCCCACTTCTAGTTGGAAACTTAAAAAAATTTAGAATTGCAAAGGGCTTATTTTAACATAACTATCTTGATAATGGTACATATATCTTGTGACTATTACTTTAATTTTTGTACATCATATTCTTGCAAATAAGATTGTTCTTTCTAAAAATCATGTGAACCTCAAATTTTTTAAAGACAAAATTACCCTTACATATATAAACACAACCGAGTGGAATTTTAGAAACATTAATAATTTCTCAATGGATAATGGAATTTATGCCATTGTTAGAAGTGAAAACAGTTGAATTTTAACATAGAAAGTGAAAATTAGCTGCAGAAGCAATAATTTCAAAGAAAAAAAATATACCTCTGAAATCACAACTTACTTTTACTCTCCACATCAGTAACATGAAATATTAGCAAAAAAACTCCAAACAATGCCTACAGGCTTTCGAATCATAGCCTTTGAAAAAGGCTTCAACGCCAACACCACTCGAAAAATTTCATAAAGCTGTGCAGAAACCTTTTGCAATTGTAGGAATCCAGCTAAAATCTTCAACCACACATTAACTTTTGAAGTCCAATTCTGCAAAATAACTCCAGAATTTCATCATTCGAGATCAAAACTTTTGTAGTCTTTGTGGCATTTACCAGCGTTGATCTAAATCTTCTAATTAAGTCTTCCCCATGCAAAAAGTATCATCCCCTTCCACATCCAAATCCTGCTCCATTCGTGATTAGAAGAGAAGCTAACCATCCAGCAGACACAAAACCAACTGCAATTTTTTAACAAAAAGCAGATATCTGCTCAGTGTCCAAAGAATTTAACTTAATAACATTGAAATACTTTTTTCTGCAGTATGGCGAGCTTTGTTACGAAAACAGAGGCCAATAACAAAATAACTTTAAAACTGCAATATGCAAATCCATAAGATATTATAATGGCTAATATACAAAATAAATGTATAATTCAAGGAGTGTTCCATAACATTTTGATATATCAACGCTAAGAATCTAAATTGCATACATAGTTTAGACTATTCAGTTGGCTAAGCCCAAGTAATTAACAATTTAACACTTAATTTATTTTGTAAAAATCTGAATAGTCCATTAGAATGAAGTGAGCTACCAGACTAATTCAACCTCATTATTCATTTCTAAGATGTAATAGAGTTCATTCTTCCTCCTCTATATTCTTCATTATAGAGTATTGTCTTTCACCTTACACATACAATCAATAATACTCTTTTAAGGAATTTACATAATTACTAAACAAAGAGAGCAACCAACTTACAAGTTAAATTTTGTGTTCAGCGTTTGCCAACATTCTTATTCTTTGACGCACTCATCGACTCTATTCTTAAATTCTTGCCATAATTTTATGTGAATAGTAATATCTTAATTTTCTCAAGTCTTTTTTTGATTGAACAACGAATGCCAAATAAAATTCCTTTTGATTCTACCACATTTCTTCTTGCTTCAATTTTTCTTAGACACTAACCTAACAAATTAATATTACCATAAATGTTTACTAAACTCATAAAAATTATTGCAAACATTATTCTTCTAAGAAAAAACTTGCTTCATAAATCAAGATTCCAATAAAATGCAAAATCCCCAGCCTTTGGAGCCAACCAAGTAATACCCAGGTAGAAACCTAATAACTTTTGTTATCAAGAAATTCTTGGTTTATGAAATGCAAAATCTCATTTTTCATTTTCATTTCACGAAATAATTTTTCAGAATAAACTGGGTAAAAAAAGAAATCCAAAAAGCATCTTGCATTTCAAACTTACCAATAGCTACTCCGCGTATGCCAATCTATTAGGACAGTGTCTGGAAATTGCTGCAATTAAATTAAAAACATGAAGTTAAAACCAAATAAACATCTTACCGTGCCAGGAAAAAAGAAATTGATTGCACTAATCTTGGATTTCAGAAGTTAGAAATTAAATTGTGATCATCAAATATGATTTATATTATACCCTAAATTATATATGAAATGAGGACAAAATTCATTGACAATCTTTATTTCATATATATTTATTTTATACTACAAACTCTAGTTATATAGACAACCTAGACTATTCAGATAACTCTTAGACAAGGATTATCTTTTTATTTAAATCTAATAAACCATATAAAGTCTAGATAACTCCTACATTGAAAACATTCTAATCCTAGAATTCCCACACTCCCCCTCAAGCTGGGAATGCTAGACATTTTCTTACCAGCTAACAAATAACTGGTCAGATTGTCAAAACTTTCAATTCGATGGCCTGCGATGTAATTTCTAGGGGTCGCCTTAGTATGCCGCAGTTTACGACAGTACTAGCACCAGATTTTTTCTCCTTTTTGCCATGTTTGATCTCCAACATAACTCTCCCAACCCTTAGAAGCTAAGGCTAAAGCTTCCGGTTCAGGCTGTACATTTGAGATACTAGTCAATTCTCCCATCATCACTTTACTCCTACTTTCCTTGCTACCCACCTTCTACAAATACCTCTCGGACAGAGGGTAAGGGTTCTTTGCCCAAAACTCTCCCTCTCACGTCATGTAGTTCCTTATTTAGTCCAACAAAGAACTCAAATACTCTTTCTTTCTCCAACATTTTCGTGTATTTGACATTATCTTGAGTACAACTCCAATTATCTCCACAAACAAGTCCAACTCCTGCCACAGTTGAGCCAACGTACTATAATTCTGGGTAACATACAACTATCCTGTTTGGTCTCTCTCAGTCTTGACTTTAACTCAAAAATCTGCACTAAGTTTCCCATGTATGAGTATGTTTCTTTAGCCATATCCCAAATGTCCTTTGCAGTAGGAAGAAATAAGTATAGTCAGCCAATCTCCTCCTTCATGGAATTAATCAACCAGGTCATCACAGTACTATCCTCAGCATCCCATTTCTGGTACACAGGGTCATCTTCTTGTGGAGCTTTAACAATTCCAGTCAAGTAGCCCAACTTGCCTCTTCCCCTGATCATCAATTTCATAGCTTGAGACCATGGTATGTTGTTTTTTCCATTCAACTTGTGGACACTGATCTGTATAGAGTTATGATCAATGTTATTGTGACCATTTAATAGAGGTTGGTCTCCCGTTGGTCCAGTTCCCCGACCTGAAGATGGATGGTTCTGTCGTAGGATCAATTGGAGGGCTCCCACTTCTTCCTTGTCTTTCACCTGTCATGGCAGTTTTCACCATTATTCTTTCCGGCCAAAGGAACCTGGCTCTAATACCATGAAATGAGGACGTAATTCCTTGATAATCTTTATTTCATATATATTTATTTTATACTACAAACTCTAGTTATATAGAGAACCTAAATTATTCAAATAACTCTTAGAGCCTGTTTGCCAAGCTTATCAGCAACTAGTGTTTGTAAGGTAATTTCTACTTATAAGCTAATTTAGTTTATAAGCATTAAAAAATCTAAGCAGTTACATGTTTGGTTAAATTACTTATAAATGACTGATAAATAGTTGACGCGTTTGGTAAAATGTAGTTTATAAGTACATTTAAATATTTAATCATTAAAATGACTAAAAAGGGTACTATATTATTTTATCAAATAATAAATTATATTAAGTTAATTTTTTACTATAATATCATCAAAATATATTTCAATCATATTACAATATAATTTAATTTTAGAATTAAATAAACAAATACTTTATAGACAAATAGTTTGAGTTATTTGAAATATAAAAATAAGGTTATATGATGAAATTTTAAAATTAAATAGAGGTAATACGGTAATATAAATAGTTTTTTAAGCCAAAAACCAAAAACAGTAAGTTTCCCCCAACTTATTTTTTTGGCTTATAAATCCAAAAAAATTATAATCAAATATATCAGCTTGATTTGAAAGCTTACAAACACCTTCTTAGACTAGGATTATCTTTTTATTTAAATCTAATAAACTAGATACAATCTAGATAACTCTTACATTGAAAACATTCTAATCCTAGAATTCCCACAATATCTTTATCACTTTGGAAAAAATCCAGAATTAAATGGTTCATGAGTAAGGGTAACTCACCAGTAAAATGCTCTTGAGTAAAGTAACCTATGAGCAAAGGTAACTCTTGCTCATGGAGTAGAGTATCACTATAGGAGCAGAGTGTAACTCTAGGAGCATAATCTGTTAAGATTTTCATAATATTTTGTATATATTTTGTAATCAAGTGAATATTATGTAATCTTTTAGTTATGTCAGGTATACGATCTCAGAATATTCTAGAGATTATGTAATCTCCTAATTATGTCAGACAAAATATTGTGTAATCCACAATTGACATAATTAGGAGATTTAGGAGATCGTATACTCCCTATATAAAGGGTGTAACTCCTTAGTGATAAATTAATGAATTGAAAACCCAATTCTTCAAACAAACATGGTATCAGAGCCACTCTCTGATCTCTAAAAAAAATTCTCATTGTAGAGCAGCCATCGGAAAAATCACTGGTGAGTAATCATCCCATCGTCGTCAATCCAAGAAGGAGAAAACGACTGCAATCAATCCAATCCTCCAAACTTCAGTCACCAGAAAACACTACCAGCCATCAAATCTAGCCGCAAAACAACACCAAAACTTCCTGCCATATCAACCTCCTGCCATATCAACCCCATGCCATATTCAACCCCCAGACTATCCTAATCATCTTCAACAAACCTACCATATTCAATACCAAAATACTCAGAAAAAAAAAATTCCAAAACCAACCATCTTCAACAAATTTGCCGCAAATTCACATCATCACCCAAACAACTTCAATCACCAAGAAACACCACCACACTGACGTCAAACCCGATCTGTTTCCGGCGACTCTGATTGGCAGTTGCTGTGCCACCGTAACTTGCCTATTGTGCTTGTTGAGAGTTTGTTTTTAAACTTTTTTTATTTTTACTTTTTTCTTATTTATTTTTCTTTTATTTATTTATTTTTTATTCTGAAGTANAAAAAAAAAAAAAAAAAAAAAAAAAAAAAACAGGGGAGAATGTGTGGAGAAATTCTACGAAACCAGTTCCAAATTTAGAAGTAAGTTACTCAGAGACGACTAAACTTGGCATGCTCAATAACGACAAAATGAAAAGTTCTACTGATGTTGTTGTGGAAAAGAAAGCAAATGTCCAACAATCTTCATCATTTGTAGCTACTGTTGGAAATGATGGTAAGTCTTTAAATATGTGTACATTTGTTTCTAATAGTGCATGGATAATTGATTCTGATGCTATCGATCATATGACATTTGATTCTAGGCATGTGTCTAACCTTAAGTCATCCTCACAAAACTTTGTTTCTACTGCCAATGGTGAATCTAACCAGGTCATTGGGGAAGGTTCGTTAACCCTAAAAAACTCTTTATAGTTAGATTCTATCTTAGTTGTCCCATCCCTCAATTATAACTTATTGTCAGTCTCCAAAATAACCAAAAGCTTATCTTGTGACTTGTGTGGTGATTTTTTGGCCTGAATTTTGTGAGTTTAAAAGTATTCAAACAAAGCAGACGATTTGTTGTGGTATTAGACGGGGGAAATTGTATTACTTGGATTTAGAGTCACAAAGTTCTACCGTGTTACAACAGGCTTTGACTGTAGATTACTCTAAAAGGGATAAACAAAAATCCGACATTTGGTTATGGCATCAGCGCCTCGGACATGCTTCGTTCAGCTATCTGAAGAAACTTTTTCCAAGTTTGTTTGGAAAAAATGATATCAGTAACTTCTGTTGTGATGTTTGTGAACTATCAAAAAGCCATCGAGTCTTATTTCCAACAGCAATCAACAAAAGTCAAAGTCCTTTTATGCTTATACATTCAGATGTCTGGGGGCCATCACCAGTTACTACTTTAGGTGGATCTCGTTAGTTTGTTACTTTTATTGATGATTGTACGAGAATGACTTGGGTATGTCTAATGAAATCTAAAGGGGAGGTTAATTTACTCTTTTAGAGATTTCACAAAATGGTTCGTACGCAGTATAATGCACAGGTTCAAATCCTTCGAAGTGGCAATGGAGGAGAATATTAAAGTTCAGATCTTCAACAATACTTAGCAATACATGATATCATTCATCAGACTGCTTTTCCCAACACACCCCATCAAAATGGTGTTGCTGAGCGAAAAAATCGGCACTTATTGGAGGTCGTTCGTGCCTCATTAATAGAGGCTCACATGCTGTTATCTTTTTGGGGAGAAGCACTTACCTCTGCAGCCTACCTAATCAATCGGGTACCCTCTAGTTCTCTTCGGTTCGAGACACCTTTTCAGGCTCTTGGTAAAGCAGTGAATACTCCAGTGGTCCTGAACTTACAGCCTCATGTTTTTGGTTGTGTTGCATTTGTTCACCTCCATAAACATCAATGCAACAAGTTGTCCTCTCATGCATTGAAATGTGTTTTTGTTGGGTATAGTGTTCATCAAAAGGGGTATCGATGTTATCATCCTCCAACTCAACGAATGTTTGTAACGATGGATGTTGTTTTCCATGAAGAGTTTATGTATTTTCCTTCTGAGTCTGAACTTCAGGGGGAGTATTGTCAAGAAGAAATTCATACTCTTGACTATGCAGTTCAAGATGACGTTCAAGATGTGGGAGACCATGAGTCACAAACTAGACCTATTGTTCGATAAGAAGATAAAGTGGATGATGGTAATATGGAGGTGGCATCAAACCTGGCCGTAGAAGCTTCTCAGTCCGAGTCTCTTATTCCTGGTATGTCACAACCATCATTTGTTGAGAATGTTCTTGATTTAGAGTCTGAACCAATTAGGAAACAGTTACCACCATGTAGCACTAGAGGGATTCCCAAACCAACAAAACCAGAGCTATCTAGTAAAGTCAAATACCTTATGAGTCATTATGTGTCTAACCATCGTCTGTCATAATCGAATATGTCATTTGTGAATCAATTATCTACTGTATCTATTCCTAACAGTGTGCAGGAAGCCTTATCTGATCCAAAATGGAAAGTTGCTATGAATGAGGAAATAAAATCATTACAGAAGAATGAGACTTGGGAACTTGTTGATTGTCCACCCGGAAAAAAGACTGTTGGATGTCGATGGGTTTACACTGTGAAGTATAAAGCTGATGGTATAATTGAAAGATTTAAAGCAAGACTAGTAGCAAAAGGGTACACCTAAACCCATGGGATCGACTATACAGAGACATTTGCACCCATAGCTAAAATCAACACGGTACGTGTCTTATTATCTTTAGCTCCAAACCTGGATTGGCCATTACAGCAATTCGATGTGAATAATGCTTTCCTACATGGAGAATTGTCTGAAGAAATCTATATGGATCCTTCACCAAGGTGTATTTTACCAATGAAACATAGCCAAAAGGTATGTAAGTTAAAGAAGTCACTGTATGGGTTAAAACAATCTCCGAGGGCATGGTTTGGGAGGTTCACTAAAGCTATGAAGTTTTTTGTCTACCATAAGAGCAATTCAGATCACACATTATTCCTTAAAAAACAACAAGGAGAGATCACTGCACTTATTGTATATGTGGATGATATGGTGGTTACAAGAAATGATCCAGAAGAAAGGAAGGCATTGCAAAAGTACTAATCAGAAGAATTCGAGATGAAGGACTTATGTTCTTTGAAATATTTTCTCGGAATTGAAGTGCCTCGATGTAACAGAGGTATCTTTCTATCACAAAGAAAGTATGCCTTGGATGTGCTGCAGGAAACTGGTATGTTAGCATGTCAACTAGCTGATACACCAATCGAATAAGGCTTGAAATTATGAGTCTAGACTGAACAAGTACCAGTTGACAAAGGGAGATACTAGAGACTTGTGGGAAGATTGATGTATTTGTCTCACACTAGGCCAAATCTTGCTTATGCATTAAGTATAGTCAGTCAGTTCATGCATAATCCTAGAGAGTAGCATATGAACGCAGTTATGTGTATCTTGAGATATTTAAAACATGCTCCTAGAAAGGGAATCTTATTTTCTAAAAATAAGGACTACCAAAATGTGCATGCATATACTAATGCTGATTGGGCTGGAGAAGTGGATGACAGATGATCTACTTCTGGTTATTTCACTTTTGTAGGAGGTAATCTAGTCACGTGGAGAAGCAAGAAACAGAATGTTGTGGCATGCTCAAGCGCTGAAGCAGAATTTAGGGGAATGGCACTTGGGATTTGTGAAGCTTTGTGGCTAAGATTTCTACTACAAGATTTGGGTTATCAACCTAATCAACCAATCCAGTTATATTGTGACAATAAAGCAACATGTGGCATTGCTCACAATCCAGTTCAACATGATCGTACGAAGCACGTTAAAGTAGATAGACTTTTCATCAAAGAAAAACTGGATGAAAAGATTATTGAACTACCCAAGATTCGATCAGAGGATCAATTGGCCGATATTCTTACGAAGGCTGTCTCCAAACGTATTTTCTCACAAGTGTTAGACAAGTTGGGCATGTGTGACATCTACACACCAACTTGAGGGGGAGTGTTAAGATTTTCATAATATTGTGTAAATATTTTGTAATCAGGTAAATATTATGTAATCTTTTAGTTATGTCAGATATACGATCTTAGAATATTTTAAAGATTATGTAATCTCCTAATTATGTCACACAAAATATTGTATAATCCGCAATTGACATAATTAGGGGATTTAAGAGATCGTATACTTCCTATATAAAGGATGTAACTCCTTAGTGATAAATCAATGAATTGAAAACATACAATTCTTCAATTAAACAGATGCCACATATCTAACATCACTTTGTCCTGAACCAATTCTAGCAAGGGAGCCAAACACCCCCCATCTTGGTTCCGGATGAAGTATTTGGCTACTGGTGCCAAACCATAGACATAATCAACTTGACCACCATCATGATCACTAGTAAGAGAGCATGTTAAAATAGAGTGGCTAGCAAGAAGGCGGAGAATTCGATCGAGAATTGAAGGGGCTTGTGGTTGTTTTGAGTGACAAGTTGGGCTGCAATTTGTGAAGAGGAGAGTTGACCTCCAGGACCAGCTTTGTCTATGATATCAAGCACACCAAGTTCGATTGTTCCTTTTAACACCATAGGCAAGACTGATGCGCTCACTAGTTGCATGGCATACTGTCCAAGAATATGATCGTACTCTTCATTTGTGGACGCTTTCATCTGGTTTTCCTCGGAGTTCATCTTGTGTTTTTGGTAGTTGAAAACACGAAGTATTGGGAAGGATAATTAAGATCTTTAATCTTTCTGACCAGTGCAAATAGAACTAGTTAATTATTCTAGGTGGACATTTGTTTATATATACCGTATGAACTACGAGTCCTTGGTCATGACTTTTTGTCTTCTTCCCTTTTTCTCCTCAAATTATTAAGAATTTCAATGCTTTCTAATTAGAAAACAGCTTCATGCCGTGTCCAAGTTTGAGATTTCTCTGTTTCTGGGCTCTGCTGACTTATTACACGCTTTGGTATTTCAAAATTTCTATGAAAAACAACACGTATCTTAAGACACAGGATAATTAGTTTTACCTCAATAGTCAATACCAGCACTACATAAAAATAATTCCTGACACTGATCTAAATTAAAATTACATAACATTGAACTTGATTACAGATGAAATTATCTATCCACAAACATCTAGTGTGTCTGTGGTTAATTAAAAGAATGAAGCAGTAGTAGAGGTTTTGAACATGTCCAAGCAGCATTCAGTTTCAAAGGGGGCTAGTACTGAGACTACTTGAGGCCATATCAGAGAGTTTAGCCCTTCAAAGAGATTATATAGACAAATCATTAGGCACACATGCCCAACACATGGCTTTGAACTATTATCCACCATGTCCACAACCAGAGCTAACTTATGGATTTCCTGGACATACTGATCCTAATGTAATCACTGTTCTTCTTCAAGATGATGTGCCTGGCCTTCAGGTTCTCAGGAATGACAAATGGGTTGCTGTCAATCCTATCCCCAACACTTTTATTATCAATGATTACTCACTTAATGACATGGTCTTGGATCATGCAACCATATAAGAGAAACACAGTTATGACTTGAATTTGAAGAATTGGTGGTTTCGCTTCTTGGCCAAGAACATTGTCAGACATTGAAATGAACCGAATCCTATTCTCTAGGAATGATGATTTGAAATTGTGAAAATAGCTTCCTTGTGTCATTGTCTTCAGAATAGGAACTAAACTGACTGCAGAACTAGTGTAAGGTGTTTTGAACGTATACATGAGCATGCCACATGCTAGAAATATCTGTGACAGTATGCTTTAAATAACTTGTTTCGTATGGTTGTGATTGTCATTGAGAAAGAGGATATTTTGCCCATGCTGAATGAGTTAGACCCTGCCCAACAGAGAGTTTGTTATAGTAGAATAGTGGTATATCTTGATTGTAAATGGTTAAATTGATTAATGATTACTCTTCATACCATTCTGCCATTTAATCTTCACGAGTATAAGATAGTCATTTGCTTATACTGGACACTTCTGTAGGAGTGGATAAGGTTCGAAAGACACAAAGTTACAGAAAGTGGGAAAGGTTACCGTTGAACAATGGCGGGCCATTGCCACTGAAAAACTTCCAGATTTGAATTGCACGACTGTTGAATCAGCCATGAGAATTATAGCAGGAACTGCTGCTAATATGGGAATTGATGTTGATCCTCCTGTCCTTGAACCCAAAAAGAAAGTAATCCTGTAGTTTGATTAGTTCTTTTGTAGCTGTATGGTAGTAATTATCTTACTTGAAATTCATCAAATTTTATGATGTAATATCCTGCACATCCAATTTTTTTGTACTTTTGAGTTGTAATTTGGTTTCTTAATGATGAATGGAGGCTGGAGCTGCATTAGGAATTTTAGCAAAGTTTTCATCTTTCAAATGCAACTCTCTTACGAGTTTAAGATTATTTATNGAATTTAAAGATGGTAATAATTTCGTGGTGGGTCAATTTGTATCAGGTACTCAGCAATGATCGGTACCAGAGTGTGCTTCATCGAGCTGTGGTGAGCTGTGACAAGGAGCGCATATCCATTCCAACTTTTTATTGTCCATCGCCAGATGCTTTAATAGGTCCCGCCAAGGAGTTAATCGACCATAACCACCCGGCTGCCTATACAGACTTTACATATGCTGAATACTATGAGAAATTCTGGAAGAGGGGACTTGAAACTGAATGTTGCTTGGACATGTTCAAAACCTCTACTACTGCTTCATCCTTTTAATCAACCACAGACACACTAGGTGTTTGTGGAGAGATAATTTCACACCTCAATTCTATCTTTTGAGGCTTTGAAGTTGACAGTTAAGATATATTATTTTAGTAATTATTCTTATTAACAATCTAGATAGGTCATACTCAAAATTTCCCGAATAATATACTTAAAAATCTTAATTGATCGTTATGCCACTTAATGGCTGTTGTGGAAAAATAATTTCACCACCATTAAAATTATTGATTATATTTCATCTGTACTCAAGTTTAATGTTATGTAATTTTAATTTAGATGAGTGTCAGGAATTATTTTTATGTGGTGCTAGACTGCTAGTAATACCGTAACTCAGTTATGGTATTCAGTATTGAGAGGTAAAACTACTTATCCTCTATCTTAAAATATGTGTTGTTTTTTTATAGAAATTTTGAAAAGGCCAAAGCGCGTAATAGGTCGGCAGCTTAGCAACAGTGAAATGTCAAACTTGGACACGGCGTGAAGCGGATGTATAATTAGAACATCTTCAATAACTTTTTATATAACTCAAACTTTATCGATAAAAACAAGAGTTTAATTCTTTAAATATTAAAAATTAAATTTAACTTTTTATATCTAAAGAGTTAAATTTTACTTTTTATCCTAATTTTAATTTATAAATTATAAGTTTCTATGTATTTTATTTATTAATTCTCTTTCTTGAAAATAAAGAGCATCTTTATTAAATTTAAAAAGTGTACTAGATTTGAATAAAAATTTTATTCTTTATATTTAAAAAATAATAAAGATGCTTTTTATTTATATAAAATATGCTCTTTAAAATAAAGAGTACCATTAGAGATGCTCTCATCTCTAAATAATTCTTTATATGACCCAGACTCTTTATTATAAAGAGTTTATCCATATAAACAAGAGTTCAACAGGCTCTTTATTTTTTAAATATAAATTAAAGAGTGAATTTGACTCTCCATATTTAGAGTTAAATTTTACTCTCTATCCTAATTTTAAATAATAAATTGCAAGTTTCCATATATTTTATTTATGATTTATCTCTCATATTAAGTTTCCTTCTTGAAAAAACACATTCTCTCTCTTAAAATTTAAAGAGTCTATTGGATTTGAATAAAAATTTTGTTCTTTATATTTAAAAATCAATAAAAATGCTCTTTATTTATATGAAAGATGCTTTTTAAAATAAAGAGCACCATTGGAGATGCTCTTATATTTTAAAATTAATAAATATGCTCTTTATTTATATAAAAGATATTCTTCAAAATAAAAAACACCTTTAATTGTGCTCTTTAGTTAAGAACACCTTTAATTGTGCTCTTTATTTAAAGAGCATCTTCATTTATTTATATATATACACACACCGAAGTCTTTGATCATGACTTTTTGTCTTCTTCCCTTTTTCTCCTCAAATTATTAAGAATTTCGATGCAAGGGACTGCACACGGTGTGTGTGTATATATATAAAAGAAAATGATACGACTATAAAATCTTGCCATTAACTTTTTTTATAATTTTGATATGACAATTCGTATATGGATAGATAAGACATATATAAGAAAGTGAGACTTATTTTGTGAATCGATTAATGACGAACTATAACGTTGAGGTTATGAGAAAAAGTTTGTGAGAAAAGATTATTAGTGTAGTAGTACTTGTAAACAAATGTCCACCAATAATAATTAACTTGTACCGTTTGCACTGAGATTAAAGATCTTAAATTATCCTCCCTAAAACTTTGTGTTTTCAACTACCAAAAACACAAGATGAACTCCGAGGAAAACCAGATGAAAACGTCCACAAATGAAGAGGACGTTCATATTCATGGACAGTACGCTATGCAACTAGTGAGCACATCAGTCTTGCCTATGGTGTTAAAAGCAACAATTGAACTTGGTGTGCTTGATATCATAGACAAAGCTAGTCCTGGAGGTCAACTCTCCTCTTCACAAATTGCAGCCCAACTTGTTGCTCAAAACAAACCCCAAGCCCCTTCAATTCTCGATCGAATTCTCCGCCTTCTTGCTAGCCACTCTATTTTAGCATGCTCTCTTACTAGTGATCATGATGGTGGTCAAGTTGATTGTGTCTATGGTTCAGGACAAAGTGATGTTAGATATGTGGCATCATCTAAAAGAAGCAGTCGTTGAAAGGGAACTTCCATTTAACAAGCCGTATGGGATGAGTGCTGTTGAGTATGTTATATAAAGGTTTTGATGGTTTAAAATCTCTGGTTGATGTGGGTGGTGGGGACAGCGGGTGGTTCTGTCCTAAAGATGATATCCTACAATTAAGGGTGTCGACTACGATCTGCCTTCAATTATTGAAAAGTCCACTTCCTATCCTGGTATGAACTTTTAGGTTTTGTTTCTGATCTCATAGTACGTAGACTTATTAACTCACTTTATCTTCTTTGACTATAATGAGCCGAAAGTTTTGATCTACTTTACTGCTAACTACTCGTAGAAAATTCGATTTGATTTTACATTGTGTAAAAAGAAATTTTTTTCTTTTTTGACTTATTTACATGTTTGACTATGATGCTGAAACGTTCCAAAAAGGTTACCAGTTTTACATATTTGATATTTGAACAAATGTTGTTGCAGGTATTGAGCATGTTGCAGGGGATATGTTCATAGACATTCCAAAAGGAGAAGCCATTTTCATGAAGGTTTGCAGATAGCAGACTTGATCATTTTAGCACAATTTAAATGATTTCTGTTAATGACTTGGTTGATACTTTTGAAGTTGAAGGAATCCAAGTATTCATTTCAATTTATAGTTTGTCTTATTCAATTAAATTTTGAGCTAATCAATACAGAATTTGTATGAAACAGTGGATCCTACACAGTTGGGACGATGAGCACTGCGTGAAGATACTAAAAATTGCTATGAAGCATTACCGGCCAACGGGAAAGTGATAGTAGTTGATTTAGTAATACCAGAAGCCCCTGAAGCTATTCTTGCTGCAAAAAGCTTATTTCAGTTAGATATGTTCATGATGAACATGAATTCGAGAGGAAAGGAGAGGACAAGAAAAGAATTTCAAAGTTTGGGAGAAGACGCAGGGTATTCTCATATTCAAGTGCCATGTTCTGCATTTAATTTCTCAGTTATAGAGTTCTATAAATCTATGTGAAGTAGTTTCCTCTACTGTCATTATGGCTTGTCTTATGTACGTGTATCAGAAGCATAATTAACAGGGCATTGAATTTGAGCCCATTCAAATCTGTTTAATGAATCTAACTGGCAAATGATCAAAGCGATAACGGAAAAAGGAAGATTGAAGAAAGCAGTAATTGATATAACGCATAAGAAATTATCCCTCAACAGTCAACACCACCTACATGTATGCTAAAGGAATATAAATCAGCCAAATCCATAGTTGATGTGATCATTTAACTGGTGTAAAAGAATTTGAAAAGTTAAAACTGACACCCGGCTCACCCAGAAAAACACCACATACCCAGTCATCTCTCCTCAGAACTACTGCCTACTGGGGCTCTATCTGAATAGTCACGTGGCTGCTGTTTTATTCTCGCCTAATATACTCGATAACCTTGTCTAGAACCATGTCAGCATCAGCATTGGGCTTTATTTTGACATGGGACGCAAGAAACGCTTTCCCAACTGTTATTGCCTAAATGTGTAATTCGTGGATGGCAACAACCTCATCCATCTCACAAAGCCCCTTCTCAAGTCTAGTGGCATCAATCTCTCTAGGCGTGCTCTCCATCAGAACCTCCAAAATGTTTCGTAACATTCTGATTTTTGCGCCCAACACAATAGCTGAGAATATGAGCGAAGGCACGGCAAACTAAGCCTAAATATAAGAAGAAACGTTATCTGCTATCCATTCATCTCTTGTTTCGAACAAATGCATATTTATCTCCCTTTGCTTAGTATTTATTGATGGCATTTCATGTGTTACACAGACTGTAACAGGCAAGTGCTTTGAGAAGTGCATCACTAAACCGGGATCAAGCATGAGTTGTAGTGAGGGTAGTTGCGTTTCTAGGTGTGTGGATCTGTTGGTTTTGCTGGAGAGTAATGAGAAGAATGATATTAAGCAAAAGAGGAAGAGACGGCAGCATCAATATGTGCTCTACTTATTATTTATAAAACAGGGGAAATATATACATAAACCAGTCCACTGTTACACCTAATGCAGTGGATATTTTTACAAATTTGAATTTGAACTAAATTATATTCAACTAATACAAAATCAATTCAGTCAAACACACCACTTAATCACTGCATGTTTCAACTAAACTATCACAAATTACATCAAAATACAACAAAACGACAGCTCCAACTACTGCAATCAGAATAGCAACTTTGTATTCTTGGCGCCAAAAAGATTTTTCAAAAATTGACAGAATTTGCTGCATTTCTAGCAAAATATCACTGGCTTCAACACTCCTTGATATTTTTGTTGGAAACACCAAGTTTGAGTCTTAAATCTTCAAACTTTGCTTTGGATAAAGTCCTAGTCATGATGTTTGCCACTTGGTCTTCACCCCTGCAATGAACTAACTTAATTTCTCCATTACATTTAACCTCCCTTACAACATGAAACTTAATCTTGATATGCTTTGTGCGACCATGTAAGACTGGATTTTTATCCATTGCAACAGCAGATTGATTATCACATAAAATCACAGTAGAATTCTCTATTTTTGCTTCAAATCATCTAAGATTTTTCTTAGCCAAATGGCTTGGTTCACAGCAGCAGCAGCGGATATATATTCTAAACCAATCTGTTGGATGATTTCAGAAGGTGCTATTTGTTGGATGATTTCAGAAGGTGCTTTCGTAGCTCAATCCACACAGGAGTACTTCTGGCTACGTATCCTTCTTGAATGCAGGTTCTATTTGTTGGTTGCCATGAAGTGGATTTCACTCGGGTTGCTCATAAACCTGGAGAGGAGGCTTGTTGCAAACATTAAGTCAGCCCTAGTTGTTGTCAAATACAACCAACACCCTATGAAGCTTCTGTAAATTCACTCATCAACCTTCACAGCCCCATCATCTTTGCTCAGCTTCAGGTTTGCAACCAATGGAGTATCCATTGGTTTGCATTTGTCCATATTGAACTTTTTCAAGACTTCATTAGCATATTTCTGTTGGCTAACAAAGATTCCATATTGAGTTTGACTAATCTCCATACCAAGGAAATAAGACATTTCCCTTAAGTCAGTCATTTCGAACTCACTATGCATAGCCTCTTGAATTCATTCAGCTTGCTTGTGCTGCTTCCGGTGATGAGTAAATCATCCACATACAAAGATGATAAGAGCTTGAAAGTATATCTTTTGTTAGTGATTTAATTGGATTATTTGTGGAAAAATGTGTTTAATTTGTAGAATTTGAATTAATTATTTCATAAATACCTTTTACGGGATCATGGGTGTATTTTGAGTATTTTCAGGTTCAAACCAATATTTGAAGAAAAAATAATGATGTTGATAGAACTCGTGACAAGTAGGAATGAACGGTGCAAGAATCGGAGTTGAAACGAGAAAGTTGTGATGCATCGAAGATACAACGTAAAATCTAGAAATCTTTCAAGATGAGCATGCTTCGATGTTTCGATCATAGCTTGAGCTGTAGAAATAGGAATTTGACGATTCTTATGGTGTTGGAAAGATTATTCAGAGAGCTACAAAGTGTATGTTGATGACTTTACCAAATTCTGAAGATCACAGACTCGTGGGACAGAAAGAACGATTGCCGCAGTGACCATTTGTGATCGCTGCAACGATGGGTCACGGGCCTGTGTGGGTTATTGCATTCCCTTAGTCCGAATCTAAATGGGTTAAGGCATTTAATTATTTCCTAAGTAACCTCCAAACCCTAGCACTATAAATAAGGGTCTTTAATTAGTTTTTAGGGGATTAGAGAAGGAGAAAGGACGGCTACTATTTTCAAGATCGGAATTCTTGTAGTTCTCGTTTGCCAATTAGAGAATTTTTTCTATTTTTCTTTCTTGAACTCATGTTATTGAATACAATGGTTGTTTTTATTACTGCAATTATGAACTAAATCCCTTTTCTAGGGCTAAAGATGTAGCCCAATTTATGAATATGTGTTGACTTTATTGTTGTTAATTCTTATTGAGCATTAATTCTAAGTTTTTATTATTGTGTGTAATGCTTTTAATTCTTAAGGATCCGAGAGTTGAATGATCTCATGGATTGGGTTGAGATCGAGAGATGAAACCTGATTTGTTTAAGATAATAAAACCATAGATTGAGTGAATGTTAGAGATAGGTTACCGCGATCTATGAGACTCTGGTAAATTCCATAGAACTTAATGGTCTCTAAGCTTCTAAATCCAACTTAGAGATATTTTGGGTTGTTGCTTAAGGGTTAATTCACTAATTATGTAAGAGAAAGTTAGTGGAATATCAGGGAGTTTGGCCTTTAGAATAAGGTTAATTAGGTTAGCAATAATTGTCAATACATAGGATTAAATTGGTGTGAAATATGTGCCCTAGGTTTAGTCATATTGATCTATTTACCGAAGTATTAATAAAATTCTACTTTTGTTTAGTTTTTAGTTTGTTTTTTTTTTAATTAAATTCATTCTTAAAATTCTGTTTCATCAAATAGTAACAAAATAGACTAGTTTGGTACTTGGTAGGTAGTTCTGTTGGGATTCGGCACTCGTTTACTTGAGCTTTATTACTTGCGCAATTTCGTACACTTGTGAATAGCCTGGCAAAAGACACAATGATGAACTCCCCTTCCAGCTGTCTCACATACAATGTGTGCTCATTAGGACTCCTCATATATCCCAAACTAATTAAGTAATCATTAATTCTACTATATCAGGTTCTAGGAGCCTGTTTTAGGCCATATAAAGCCTTCCTTAGCGAATAGACTTTGTTCTCTTGGCCTTCAACTTCGTAATCATATCCCTCCGACTACTCTACATAGATTTCTTCATTAAGCCAACCATTCAAGAACGTAGACTTAACATCTAACGGACAAATTCTCCATTCAAATTGGGCAGCTAGAGCAAGGAGAAGCCTGATTGTATCATGCCTGGCCACTGGTGCAAATGTGTCCGAAAAGTCCACTCCAAAATGTTGTGCAAATGCCTTGACAACCAGCCTTGCTTTGTGCATGTGAACTGATCCATCTGGATTCAATTTCCTCTTGTAAATCCATTTAACCTGAATCACCTTTCTATTTGCTGGTTTGTCCACATATTCCCAGGTATTATTCTTCTCAATCATGTTTAACTCCTCCTTCATTGCATCCCTCCGAGTGTTTGACTTTGCAGCCTCAGTGTAGTTTGTAGGCTCAAGTATGATAGCATTACATCTTTCACAAATTTCTGTCAGAGGTCTAGTACCTCTAATGGGAACATCGTCATCTGATTCAGCCCTCTCTTCTTCATCATCTTGATTCACTACAAGTTTTTTCGGATGTGATCTTGAGTCTTCGTTAATTTTGTTTTCCTCCCAATTCCAGACTCCATTCTCATCAATTTTAACATCCCTTGTGATGTGTATTTTATTGGTCTTTGGAACATAAACACTGTATGCTTTGGATTGACTACTATAGCTAATGAAAATTCCTATCATGGCTTTGTCATCCAACTTACATCTCTTAACTGTTGGAACAAGAGCATATATATGTCCCAAAAAATTCTCAAGTTTTCCATGGCAGGTTTCACTCCATACTAGGCTTCATAGGGAGTTTAATTGATCAAGGCTTTTGTGGGAATTCTATTAAGCAAATAGACTGCCGTGTTGACAACCTCTGCCTAAAAATATTTCGGCAACTTCTTCTTAGCAACCATACTTCTTGCCATCTCCATAACAATCCTATTCTTCCTCTCACTAACTCCATTTTGCTGTGGAGTATAGAGATTGCTAAGTTAGTGCTTAATTCCAGCCTGCTTGCAAATTGATTCAAATTCATTTGATGTATACTTGGTCCCATTATCATTCCTTACTGTCTTGATACTTAGACCAGTTTGGTTTTCAACTTGTAGCCTAAATCTCCCAAACATAGCGGCAAATTCACTCGTTTATTTTAGAAAATAAACCTAACACATCCTAGACCAATCATCAATAAACAAGACAAAATATTTATTCCCATTCAATGAAGGTGTCTGCATAGGTCCACACACATCTATGTGGATGAATTGGAGTTTCTCAATAGCTCTACAAGCTTGGTTTACGAGAAATGGCTGCCTACTTAACTTGCCAAGTTGACAACTAGGGTAGACAACCTTAGTTTCTTCAATTTCGAGCAGATTCTGTACCAAGTTTTTGGTCTGGATTTCTTTAAGGCCATGGTAATGGAAATGGCCAAATCTTTTATGTCGTAACTCAGACTCAACTATCTTAGCACTATAGGCTTTGAGTTTTGGTTTTTTTAGTCTAATAGGAAAGCTTTTTCCCATCATCCTAACCCTCATCAGTTCACAACCCTCACTATCCAAAACTGTGCAAGGCTGGTCTTGGAAATGTAGGACATATTTTCTTTCTAGCATTTGTCTTACACTAAGCAAACTATGGCTTATCTCTGGTACATAAAAGACATTAGGAATCAATTTGATGCCTAACTTAGTCTGCACAACAACATCTCCTTTCCCATAAACTCTCCGTTCCCAATCTTAACTTTAAAATGGTACGTCCTGTCCACGCTGATGAAGTCCTACAAATTTGATGTCATGTGGTTAGTGCAGCCACTGTCTATCAACCAAGTATCATTGTAAACCTGAGCTGTACTATAGGATGGCACAAATAGCTGCTCAGATTCTGGATTTTGCCGCTGATCTTTAACAATTTGGGCTTGCTGTGGTGGTTGGTTTGGCTTGTTTTTGCAAACCCTTTCAATGTGGCCAAATTGCTTACATGCTCTATATTGATTATTTGGTCTGAACCAGTACTTCTTCTCGGAATGGCCCTTTTTCTTGCAGTGAGAGCATGGTGAATACTCCTTTATTTCACCTGATTTGTTCCATTGATTACTGGTTTTCTCCTTCCCTTTCTTATCTCCAGCAAACCTCTTGCTTTCTCCCTGAACAACTTTGCCTTTAAAGCTTGCCACCATTGCACCCTTACTTGAATCCTCTTGTCTCAGCAACCTCCTTTGCTCTTGAGCTTGTAGAACATGCACCAGTTTAATGAGTGTGATCTCTGACAAATCTTCAGAGTCCTCAAGTGAAGAAATCTTGGTCTCAAACCTCTCGAGTAGGCTCTCCAATACCTTCTATATAATTCTTCTATCTATCAACTCCACCCCAAGTAGCCTAATTTTGTTAACTGCACTCATCATCCGTCAACATACTCCTTTACCTTCTTGGACTCCTGCATTCTTAGCATTTCAAACTCTCTTCTCAAGTTCAACACTTGCATGCCTCTTGTTGTGTCACTTCCTCTAAACTCCTCAACTTATCCCACGCTTCTTTTGGTGTTTCACACGCCATAATCCTTGTAAATACAAGGTCAGTTATGGCTGCATGGATGTGAGACAAGGTTCTCGGAGCCTTGGCAGCTTCTTCTTCATGTATCCTGATCTGATTCTGAGTGGGATTTGGTCTCAACTGAGTTGGTTTACGGTTTTCTTCTACATATTGCCACAAGTCTTGTCCTCGGAGGAATGTCTTCATTTTGATAGCCCATATGCGATATTGTTCACCATTGAAGACTGGAGAAGTAAGGAAGTCGTGGGTTGTGCCATTGAATCAAGTTATTTGGAGTTTAACAAAATTTGACCGTAACAGAGGTTAAAGAGTTGGATAGGGGGAGATGAGTGTATCAGGCCCTTTAAGATCAATAAGTGCTCTGATACCAATTGTTGGTTTTGCTGGAGAGTAATGAGAAGAATGATATTGAGCAAAAGAGGAGAGACGACAGCATGAATATATGCTTTGCTTTTCATTCATAAAACAGGGGAAATATATACACAAACCAGTCCACTGTTACACCTAATGCAGTGGATATTTTTATAAATTCAAATTTGAACTAAATTACATTCAACTAATACAAAATCAAGTCAGTCAAATACACCACTTAATCACTGTAGGTTTCAACTAAATCTGTCACAAATTACATCAAAATACAACAAAACAACAGCTCCAACTACTGCAATCAGAACATCAACTTTGTATTCTTGGTGCAAAAAGATTTTTTACAAAGTTGACAGAATTTGCTGCATTTCCAACAAAATATCACCGGCTTCAATAAGATTGCTACATTGAGGCTACAGGTATCATTGACAGAGCTCTGCTTAATTCATCACGCTAATATTTTTGATGAATAATGTTTTCTTGAAGAATATTTAATTGAAAAATCTTGGAGAAATTGCCAATTAGAGAGTAGAAATTGTTATGTTTTTTGAAAATTCCATCCAATATGGGGACTAGCATTTTCTTCTCATTCAGTCTTTATATATGTACTTGTACTTCATCATGTAAACTTTGTGCATTTGAGCATTTGACATGTTAATGCTATAATTATTGATACTTGGATGTGTATTGTTTGTGGCATAGACAATAATGACCTCATGTAATTAATATACAAAACCAATCAATGTTCCTTGAATTGCCTTTTCTTAATCCTTCTTTGCTTCATACAACTGATAGATAACCTTCTACTATCTTAAGATGATTCTAGTATGTAAGCATTGCTATGAATGGCCTACTAATCCTCCATCATTTAGGTATTACGTATACAAACACACTTAACTCTATTGCTGGCGAATCATGTATCATTAACAAATTTGTGTGTTGATAGGGAAGACGTGGCCAAGTATTGTATAAGTATTAGGGGGCTAGTATTGAGACTACTTGAGGCCATATCGGAGAGTTTAGGCCTTCAAAGAGATTATATATACAAGTCTTTAGGCAAACATGCCCAACAAATGACTTTAAACTATTATCCACCCTGTCCACAACCAAATCTAACTTATGGACTTTCTGGACATATAATCCTAATTTAATCAGTATTTTCTTCAAGATGATTGTAACGCCCCACTTGAAATACGTAGCCACTGTTTAAGGTATGGCCTAAAGGATTACTGAATTGCCCCTAAATGAGTTTGTATATTGTTCATGTTGTTTGGTTGGCCTTTGGTTGAGTTTATGTTTTGGGTTTGGTTGAGTGTGTACCATGGAATTGATCAAGACTTGACAGATTTTGGAGCTGCAGTCTTCGCCGGGGCGAGGGAGAAGCTTCACCGCGGCGACGTTGGTTCTGTGTTGGCAGTGTCAGTTCTGGACTGTTTCGCCGGGGCGACAGAAAGTTCTTCGCCACGGCGACGAGACGACAAAAAAGTTCTTGAGGTTTCTAGAGAATTCTCCATAGGGGTAAAATGACCATTCTACCCCTAATTAGCAGGAAAAGTGGGGAGTAAAATGCAAGGAAATTTCATGGAGAATAGTGTAAAATGGGGGTGAGTTTGTAAAGAATTAAAGGATAAAGGTGGAAATTTCAAGAAAGAGTAAGGGCAAAATGGGAAAGAGTGGATATTATATGAGCTAATAAGGGTTGAGTTCTCTAAACCCATTCATTTCACCCATTTCACACGCCTCTTTATTCCCATTTCCTCTCAATTTCCTCACTCAATCTTCCAAGGGATTTTTGAGAGTTTTAAGTTGGAATTGACAAAGAAGTGATCCTAAGCAAGAAGAGGTAAGAATCCCTACTCTAGAGATGAGTTTTATTTATGTAAGGGTTAAGTTCTTACTAAGTTTATGCTTAGGAATTAAGGGAAAGCTAAGGCCAACAAGAGTAGAGAGCTTTAGTGGAGACTACTCAAGTATGAGGTAAGTAAATCCAACTCAAGCTAAAGTTTAAGAAATTCTTAAGTAGAGATTATTTATGCATGTATATATGATGCTTGTTGAGAAATTGAGTAGAGATGTGTCTACTTGTTGAGGAATTGAATTGAGAAGAGGATTTATGTTTGTTGGTGGATATTCCTTTTGGGAAGTGTTTATGAGTAATAGTTGAGATGAAGTGGAGGAGATTGAGTAGATATTTTGGGAGTGTTCTTCTATGATAGGAACCATGCCCCTAGAGGGAGTTTCTTCCCATTTTGGATGGTTAAAAAGAGAAGTAGAGTTGGAATTATAGAGGAGTTTTTGTATGCACATGAGTTGTTTGGGAAATGCCTAAGTGAAATCTGCCCTGTCACAGCCGTGACTTTCTAAGTGAATTTTGGGCATCTAAGGATTGAACCGGGCTGAGAACAAACATAAAAGTTGTAGCCCTGTTTTTGAGCTTTAAAACGAGACCAAAAACGTAGCAATCCGATGTGTATAACGCAAGGATGCCCTTTTAGGTGACCTGTGCAGAATGACGATTTGGAGCAACATGCATTTGGATTTCATAAGTGCATTAATGAGTATAAACCATCCATAGCATTAATTGTCCATTGAGAAGTAGTTTGAGAAAGAATAGAGAATGTTAAGCAGAGCTACATTATGAGTACTAGCTTAAGAGTAGAGAATTTTGAGTATAAGCATACTATGAGTACTAGTTTGAGTGGAAAGGTAGAGAATGTTGAGAAACAACTCTAAGAGTAAAGATGTAAACCCAAGATGTCAAAGGATGTTCCTAACTCAAAATAGTCCTTTAAATGTTTATTATGTTAAAAAGCATAAAATCTAACTAAGGGCAAAATAGTCAATTCATTTGGAACGGTATGAATCAATTATCCATAAAGAGGTTAGGGGCAAAATGGTATTTTTTACCTATGGATAAGCATTGAAAAAGTCAAGGATGAGTAGGCTTCATTGCATTTAATGGCATTAATAAGAATAATTATGTTAGTGTGAAATGACCAAAATGCCTATATGAAGAATAAGGACTTATGAGTTATACAATTAAAATAATGGCCAATTGCATAATTTTGGAAAATAAATGAAATATTTTCCTATAAATGAGATGAAATCGTTCAAGCCAAAGGAGAGAGCCTTTCTTCAACATTTCTTCCATTTTCTCTCAAATCTTCCATGAAACAGCTTTCTTTCTCTAGGTTTTCAAGGAGTTTTGCATAATTTTTCAAGGAGAACAAGATAGGAGCCTTGGATCTTCAATTGAAGGGTTTAAGGTAAGGATTAAAAGCTTTAGTTTTGATGTAATTTGAAGATTTGAGGTAGAGTTGAGGTATAATGTATATAGTAGGATTAAGGTGTAAAAGAAGTCAAAGGTTAAATTAAGGCTTTAAGGCATAGAATTAGTGATGGCAAGTGTAGTTGAACTCATTTATTCTACTTATTGCCTTGAATTCATTATAATGAAGTTATGCTCTTATGTTTTATGAGTTGTTATGTTTGATTGAAGAAAATGAAGTGTGGATACTGATTGTGGCAAAAATTGTAGTATTGGAGGCCACATGGTGTTGAATGGTTGCTATTAGAAGTGTTGATGTGTTGTTGCATTAGCTTACAATGTATAGCAATAATGGAGGATTATGGAAATGAGATTTTACACTCCTTTAAGATGTTAAAGACATCAAGGGGAGGTTTATTTGATCACAAGTTAACCTATTGGTTAATGTCAATAGGAATTGATGTGACATAGTTAATATGAAAATTCGGATTTAATGGGCTTAGGGGTTTTGGTAACCATGCTTCTGATTTCGACCATAACTTGAGTTATAAAAATCTAAATGAGATGATTCTTGAAGCATTAGAAAGATAAGACACAGACCTATAACTTTTATGTTTATGCCAAGAGCCATCGTTTGAGAAAAGGATGGAAAATGGCCTGAAGCATAAACTGGTTATTAAGTTTAAGATTTAACAATCATCTTATGATTATGAATTGATTATTATGTATTATTGTAAGTATAACATGTACTAATGTTTACCATTAGTTAGATGATATTTGAAAGTATACATGGTCATGATGTTAAGACATGATTAATGTTATGAAATGGCATGAAGATGCAATATAATACATGTTTTAAGATGATGTATGTGAGCAAGAGGTAATGTAAATGGATTGATAATCCATAGATGAATTAAAAGTATTAAGCTCACCAAAATATGTATTTACATGCCATAAGATGTTAGAGATGCAAATAGACATGATAGAGATGCATATAGACACGATGGAAAACGCGTAAGCATATCCTCGTATACCGGTTGAGGAAAGATGAATATATGCTTTAGATGCTAAATAACGCGTAAGCACGCCTCCCGATGATATGAGCTCTAGATGAAATTTGAGGCTAGATGATATGAAGTGCTTAAGATGCTAAGAAAGGTCCGATCGGCTAGATGTTAAATGTTTCATATGCATTTAGTTGCATTACATGAGTTATGATGTTATTTACATCATGAGATGATTTATACTCATGTTAGATGATTTTAGATGTTATGTCATGATATGTGATGTGTGTGTACACATTGATGTTTATATAGCCATGGGATAAAATGATGAAAAGCATATGAATTAGTAATAAAAGGGGAAGTATCCCTAGATGTAAAAGATAAGTGATGTGTTAACAGATAAACGGATCATTCCTTACTGAGCGATTAGCGCTCACCCTTTCATTGTTGATTGCTTTGCAGGTAGACTAGAAGCGAGGGATGCTAGAGACAGCGGGACTACACGTGAGGGGAGATGATTTATTATCATCTCGATATTTTTATCTTGA